AAAAACCTTTTTAATCCATCCTTCCTTAAACAAGAATGGTTTCAAGTTGTACTTAATGTAATATTACTGACTACATTGAAAATGAAAAGACGACATTGAAAATCCCTTTCAATATCTTAGAGTTCAAAACTTTTCACTCACTGGCTTAGAATAACAACTATAATTAAATTATGATCTAATAAAAAGTAGTGAGTCTTCTCAGATCCTGGCCCAAAACTCTCTTAAACACCAAACCATAAAATTTAGACCAGGACTCTACTCTTTTATGACATAAACTTTCAAAATTATTCAAAACACTGTATTCAAACTGATGAGTTAAAAACGTTCGCACACAAACCAATTTTAACCCTAAATAAAAATTTGTCACCTTGTTTATTTATGAGGCATTATGATATCAACTCAGCAATCAAAGATTTTATATTTATTCAGTAAATTAATCTAGTTGTTAATTTCAATTCACCCAGGTTACTCTGAGTTTCTATTATAATAAAAGTTGCTATAAAGTATAGGTCAATATGATAGCATGTCTTGGGCCCCTCCGAAGTAAAATATCAATGTACGTCATTATAAAGCAGTTTATGGTCAAGTATAAGGTAAGAACAGCATTATAGACAAGAATTAGCATCCTCTAAAGTTAAGTAAAACAATGAATCACACAACAGAGACCAACCTTGAGGTTCTCGAACTACTTGGCGAGCACTGTTTGTCAAAACACCATCAGACCATTCCCTTGTATCCATGTCAATATGGCCCAATAATTGATGTCTAGGCATAGCTTTGGGATTCATGGTATATTGTTTTACTACTTTGCCAATTTTACAAAGTGCTGCCCTTAACATTCTCCAAAGAGTTGATTTTCCAGCACCACTTGGACCAACAATAACAACTCCCATCCTCTGGCATAATTGTTCATACAATTCTAAAGCCTTCTTGATCTAGTAGAAAAGAAACATGTTTGTATATCATTTATAGTGTATAATCATACAAAGTTCTGCTCTCATTCCATCATAGTTATTCTATTCTAAACATATAAATTAAGCCATTGATTTCTTCAGTGGAAAATAAAGCCTTAAATAAAAGAATATACATAAATAAATCTGAATATATTTACTATGTGGTCTTTAAATTGAAGATTTCTTTAAAAGAAACAAATATGTTTTCCAAGTTATTTGATACATGTTCATTATTTTCTTCACTCATTAATTCTAATATAATATATTCATTATTTTTTCACTAGTTCATTCATTTATATCCTGTCTCCCTTAAAATAAAAGTGAGAAAAAAGTGTTCATTTTGAACATGTATCTGTGCTATATAAAAATACCTAGTAAAAGAAGTTCTATGAAATGTCAAAATAAAACTAGATTATGTATAATCATATAGATAGATAGATATAGATAAATAGATAGATAGATCTATATATATTTCTATATCTCGGGGGTGCCAAAAAATGTATACAAGTGGACATTTTGGTCAACATTGCTCAAGCAGTAGTTCGTCATAATCAGAAGTGTCTGGACGCTGATGGTAACCACTTTGAGCACCTCTTGCAATTGCAGAGGTCAAACGTGACTTGTATTCATCTTTTGTTATCAGTATATATTGAGTATTACAATTTTAATACAGTTTTTCTTTCTTAAAATGTGTATACATNATGACTAACCTCCAATGATGGATATTAAATATAATATTCACATCTTATTCAATATTATATCCTGTATAATTACAAAAAAATTATAGTAAAAACAACTCATAGATTAATAATTTTACAATTGACAAGGGCTCATAATTTTGTCTTTTTTCCTTGTCTAACACTGTTTCATAGCAACACTATTAAAAACTGAGCTCTTGGGTCTAGGCCGGCCGAGTAGGCTCCGTTGGTTAAGAGCTCACTCAATAGTACGAGCTCTGAGCAACAGGGTCGGGTCGATTCCCGGCCCAAGCTGAGCTGCCACTGAGATGCCAACAGGTGGCGTGGCAGGATGGCTCAGCTAAAAAATAAAATAAAATAAAATAAAATAAAAAATAAAAAAAAACTGAGTCCTTGAATTTCTCTCACATTTCTATCCAGTCTAACAAGGAAAAGGAAACTGGAAAGAGCAAAGGTAAATATTCCAATTACATTAGATAGGCTCAAAACAGACAAACACAAGACTCTACACTCCTTCAGAACAGACTTCGTTGTCAGTGGTAACTCCTCAATGCCTATGGCAACTGCGTGTCTTGCTTTGTCCAAGACAATTCTGGTTTATAATTAATAGCATTCTCTTTCACTATGAAAAGGTCCTCATTTGGCCTACTGCATTGCAAGTGCTCCATAAATATGCGCTAAAGAAATAAATGAAACCTAAAACCAAAGTACAAGTTAATCAAATAGCAATTAAAAAATGTTAATTTGTATTAGTTACATGAAATCATATATATTCATTATGCCTCTCATAATATCTGGTTCACCAAGAATTTTCAAACCTCTACAGCAATATGTGGTCTTCTGCTTCTGTTAAATATGCATGGCATTATACTTACCACTTATTTTATTTATATTCTATCTTGTATTATAATTGTTGTTATATCTATTTTTTCTCCTCTACTTGAAGGTATGCGCCATAAAGACAAGCCCTCCATAAGAGTTCGTTTTATACCTTTCTTGCTTTGCCTCTCCTAAAACGCTTAACTTAATGTCATATACATAAAAGGCATTCAACAAATATTTTAAAATTTAATTACAATCTCTTCTTTAATCCTATTTTTCTCACATTATAAGAATATATGGAATAAGATAAACTGTGAGATACTGCTACAAAAGCTATAAACCCAATGTTATATTTTTTATAATTAGTACCTCAAAGTATAAATTGGAGTTCATGACAAATTTAATATAAAGTTTCTATATTATCAAAGAAGCAATTAAATAATTTTAGAAACTAAATTTGAACCAACTTAGTAACACTATCATGTGTCATACAACACCTAAAATGGCTTGAAATGGCCCTAAAAGAGGAAAGAGCACTTTATATTGACTGATATATACATATCAAATTCAAAAAGTAAAAGAAAACATTCTAATTACTCATTCTGGAAAATAAAAATAGCTTAAATGTCCATGTTCTGATATGTGACTACTGTACATAATATTTAAAATTAGTTTATTATTGGGCCGGCCAAGTGGCACGTTGGTTAAGAGCTGGCTTGGGACGCCAGAGGGCCCCAGTTCGGATCCCACATGAGGGCCAGTGACACTGCCCTCTACAGCTAANACTATGGTTTTATAGAATTTTTAAATTACTGCTAAGGATATGAAATATTCCATGTGTCCTTTATTTCCAGAAACTATACTCAGCCATTAAAAATAGGCTGAATGCATCTGATTAAAAGCTATTTTAAAATAGACAGCTAACTACAACGTTCATTTTTTTATAAATAAAGCAAATAGTAATTTGTGAGCGTATCTAGGGTATTCATTCTTTGTTGTGATTGTATGCATAGATTCTTTGTTTAACTATCTTCTCAAATTGCTCTCTTTCCATTAGAAAACACATAACCTGGCAGAAAGGAGGACATATTCTTATCCACAGTCATATTATTTTTACAAGTAGTGACAACGAAGAGTCATTCATGAAAAGTAAGGGCTAGTTGAACCAAAAGAAAGGTAACAAAAGCTGTTAATCATTTTAAAAGAGGAAATGAGCATAAATCCACAATACACACTTCAATCAATATTTTTCTGCTCTTACCCTTTGCCACATCCTTCTGGTCCTACAAGAATAAATGGCTGTTTAGTGTCAGACTTTAACCAAGGTTTGAAATAATCTAGACCTCGTTGCATGTGTGGAGTCTGAATGACTGGAAGAGTCTGGCCATTACTAAAATCATCGGCAGTCAAGTTTTCTGGTTTCTTCAGCATGTAAGATGCTAATCGTTCTCTACTCGAATCATAATAGGTGTCCATTGGCTTGTGAGGGTCTGGAGGGGATTCTTGTGCCCAATTAAAAACCTTAAGAGGAAAAAGTTGTGATAGGTTTTCACATACTCCAAATAGAATATGTGAAATTTTAGCTCTTTAAAGTAAATGTCCCAAAGTGAAACATCTTAGTTCAAATAAAAATTCACATACACTAAAGCTACTATCCCTGGTAATTAAAGTAACATTTTATTTAATATATTACTCTCTAAATTATCAGTTAAGCAAATAAATGTCATCCAGTTTACATATACACCGAAGTATAAGTATATTCAACTTCTAATTGAGTTCTTATCACTAAATTACAAAATACACAATGCAGAAATCCTAAACATTTCATTTCCACCATATTCTGTGCCCATTCCAGTGATACCACTACTGCTCTCAAACTGTTATTCTTCTTTCTAACTCTGAAAACTGTTATTTGCACAGGTATAAAGCAGAGATTTAGCCTCCAGTGCTACTCTTCAACACCTTTATTCTGACCTTTTAATGAGAACTTCTGCTTAAAATCAGCATATATTTGACACTGAGTGGTAACAATGAGAATTATCTGGCAACAGAATAACCATGGAAATGGAAACTAAATAGAGAAAGCAATAAATTTATGGTATCAAAGAAGAAACAAAATGATAAAAATGCAAAAACATAATGTTGGAGCCAATTCAAAGGAATGTATGTTCAATCATTTCAACAGAGGCCAATAGGTAGAAATCCCTTAATATGCAGAATTCAGTTTTATAAGCAACTTAGGTGACGTATACCTTTACATTTATTTAGAAAAGATTTATAATGATTAATCTATCCTAACCCTAGCTGCTAAAACTGTTCTGGTTAAAAAAATAACTAAAAAATATATTATTCTAAGATTAAAATGAATGAAATAATTATATTTATTCATATAGCTAAGTAGGTTCAAAAATGTCTAACAAAAAAGATATGTTCCAAGCCTTAGCTTATTAAAATAAAATTTTATAAAATTTTAATACCATAAAATATAAACTATTTCAAAGGAAAAAAGTATATGTATGCATGTATGTACATGTATATAAATCCATTATTATAATACTGAATGCATAATTTCAAAATTAAAAAGTTCTATAGCTTACAGTTACAAGTCATTGTATTGTGGCAGTTAAGAGTCGATGAAAGTTACAGAAAAATGTTGACTGAATATAGGCTTTAAACGCATTACCTCTTTGGTGAATTCCAGACGTGATTTCATGTTCAAATTTCCACCCAGTCCCCTTATGAGGTTAATAATAAATTGGTCATGTTCTTTGCATCCATATAGATGTGACAAACCATTCATCACAGTCCCAACCAAACTTGTTTCCACCACATAGTCATTCTGTTAATTAAAATCCATAGTACAGACAATAGGCAAATATTAACTAGTTAACTTAGAACCATATAGACTGACATTCACATATCTTTTCTAAGGATCATCTTTAAACTTATTCCTCTATTCAGTTGCAGAAAGCTTGGATTTCATTCAATTTATATATACAAACTTTGAAAATAAAAAGTAATCATAAAAACACAATTGTATATTTCTAGCTATAAGTACTGGAGTCCTCAAATAGATACATGATTTACTTCCTAAACCTGAAAAATATAAAAGAAAAGGTAAATCAATGATCATTTATAAAAAAATCACTCTGCCTGAATAAATATTTTGATGAAAATAAAGAAATGGGAAGCAGAGCAGGAAAGAGGGAGATAGCTTAGGCCATGCTAAGAGTTCTCAGCTTTCAAGGCAAGATAAAGGAAACCGACATATTTCCTTCTAGATTGTCTAATTTGCTAAATTTATACAAGAAAGCAAAGCTCTAGCTGCAAATAAAATCAGCATTTGACCAGAACATCCATTATGGTATACGTCTCAGAATCTGACCATGGTGAACAAAGTACAGAAAAAGAAAGAAGGAACCCTCAACACATAAAAAAAATGTCAAACAATAACAGGGACCCAACCTCAAAACAGAATCAGTTAATTTTCTAACCGAATTTTTAGTATCCACTCTATGGCTTAATAATCTTACCCTGTCACCATTTCTACATTCACAAACCCCTATATATCAGTATATTCCATCTAGTGTTATATTTCTCATTCTAACATTAACAGCATACAAATAGATGGCCTCAATATATTTGCATTGTTCAGCCTTGTTAGGTTCTGGATGTTTTATATTAATGAAATAACAACATATTAACTGAAAAGGTGCTACAACACAGGCATCAGGTGTTTAATCGAACACATACACTCTCATTCTTTTACTACTCTGTTATCACCACACTTGGCTCTGAGGATACGATAAGGAGTAGGAAAGACTTGGTGTTTGCTTTCAACGTCCTCATAGTTGACTGTAAGCAATTATAATACAGTTGAAAGACACTGTATGTTGCTGTAGAAGCACAAGGGAGACAGCTCAGTCAGACTGAGGGCTCGTGGGAGTGGTTCTTTCCCTAAAGCCTCCAGGAAAAACTATCTCATTTGCATCATTTCCCACAAATTCCTATTCTTCCATCTTTTATCTTTACAAAGTCATAAAAGAAAAAAGTTGAGAAACTAGAGATCTCCATTTCTCCATGTCTTGTTTAATCCCAAAGTAGTGACCTCTAAATCAAATTCAGATTAATCAGATACTATTAAAAAAACTCATTGCTATTTATTTCCTCTAATTTGTTTACATTTTTCATAAAAGAAATGACATGAAAGAAAAACCAAGAAAAGTTGAAAAAAACATGTACAATATCGGAAAGCCCTCTATTGTCTTCTTTGCATGTTAAATGTCTAGTCATGCTTCAAATTCAAAGTCTGATCTCCTTTTTAAACCTTTCCTAAAAATAGTAATACTCTCTTCATTCTGTGATATTGTGATTATCTTTTTACACGTCATTTTCCTCCAATAGACAAACGCTTCTTAAGAAAAGGGATTGTCCTGTTAATGTTCACCTCTCACAGTCTCATCTAGTGTTATGCTTGACAAATATTAGATATTCAACAAATTCGTTAAGTAGATAAATGTTTTAATAAAATTATAAATAACTCACCATCCTTTTTCTACTTTAGTAGTAACTTGATATTGTTTTTAGCATGACATATATGTATTTACTGACACAGCAAAATGTGACAAGATGGTTTTATAACTACATTTAGAAAGACATTCCAATATTCAAGATTTTTAAGTAAGCAGCACAAGATATTATAGATGGNGGGGGGGGGTTATATTTTTAAGTTTTTTCAAGGGTTATTTTGTTTGGTACACTATCTCTCTGAAAGAGAAGAATCCCTGTGTGTTTCTAAGGTTTCTGTTCTTGTTGTAAGGCTAGACAAATTCTCAAGCTCTATTCCAGACCTGCTACTAAATCAGGCACTTTGAGGATTGAGTCCGACAGTGTGTTTTAACAAGCTTTCAGGTTATTATAATGCACATTAAAGACTGAGAACAAGTGGAGCAGACTATTCTTCTATATATCACAACTATTTAATATCTAATGCACATTTAAAAATTATGATAGGACAGAAGGTAAAAACAAGAGAAAATTCAAATAAAGTAAGAACTTTGGTTAAAAAATAAGTATTAATATTGCTCCGTTAGTTGTGATATATGTACCATACTCATGTAAGATGTTAATAATAAGAGAAACCGGGGGTAGGCTTTCCAGAAACCCCTGTATTATATTTATAACTTTTCTATAAATCTAAGACTATTCTACATTAAAAGTTATTTTAAAAAATAAGATTATATTTGGAATAATGAATCATACCTTTCTGTTTAATGCCAGTTTTCTTCAGTTGTCTAAGAAGATTTCCACTTCCTCTCAGAACCGTCTTCAAAGCTCTCAAACCCCAGTCATAATGCTGCTGAGGTGTCAAAAGTTCCCTTAAGTAATAACATGGATATCAGAAAGCATCAAACAGCTTTCACAAATTCTTTTTATCATCATATCCAAAGAAATACAGAATATAACTACTAACAGATTTGAGTACTGATATGCCATAAATTTATATAAAAGAATCAATCAAACAAAATGACAACTCAGGTAAAATGTTGAAGACGGATGGTTCTCAAGAATGAGGATAAGCCTTTCAAGAACTAGCTAATATAGCTCTTAATAAAGATACTAAATGACAATTACCTGTTACCTTTATCCCTAATATCTTTAATAAATTTACCTTGTTCTCAGTCTCTGACATTCCAGTTCTCACTATCTTTTAAAATGATATGGACCAGAATTCTAGGTTGCCCAAAGAAGCTAAAAGTTAACCTCTATTACCAAAAATAAAACATAGAAAAAATTGTGAAAGATTCTCTCCAATGAACAGCGGGTTTTGAGTGTTCAGCTGGTAAATTAGATCAATAAGTATCATTTAGCTGGAGTACTCCAATAAAAATAAATATTTTGCAGAGAAAAAAGTGAGACCAGATTTAGAGTATTTAAGAAAAACAAGTAGTTTTGAGCCAGATGTTTTCATTATTCAAAGTAAAATCTTTCCTATCAACATCGTAAGTACAATATAATCACCAATATGAAAATCACTGAATAGGTAAATTGGACAAATGTGAAAAATGGTCACTAATAACCATAATCAATCATTGAAACCACAAAATATAAAAACATTTAAAACAGGATAACTCACCTAGACAGATTGAAGACAGCTACCAATTTCCTGCCCAATACCTTAGCATCTTTAAATCCCTCTGAATAGAGAATAACTTCTGCAATCAGCTCATTGTCTGGACGAGACATGGCTACTGGCCTGAAAAGCTGTTTGAGATTATCAGGCAGTTTTTGTCTTCCTCCATAACCTTTTCCAGCAGGATTCATAGTGATAAAAATTCCAGAATTTGAATTTATTTCTACCTGAAATATTAATTTAAAATATAGGCATCAAATATTTGAAACCGTAAATATAAAACATATTGCCAACAGAAATTTTATTGACATATTTCTACACATAAGTCATGTACCTTACCAAAATGTAACCACTAATGTGCTAACCATGTCCTTATTCGACATATCATAAACTTCTTAGGAACTACACTGCAGAAGAAATAGAAGCTAAATTAGAATGTGCAAACTATGAATGGGCAATTAGGAAGTAGAAATCCCTAGAACAGAAAAACCTGGCTATAAATGAAAGAGAAAGAATAGTGGTTGGAAAAAAAGATGAATCAAGGGAAAGTTTCTTATGTTTTAATTATATTAAATATAACATATTATATTATATATTTTAATATCATTATATATAATATCATATTATATGTTTTTAAGAAGGAAAAGATGTGATTATGTCTTAAAGCAAATGAGGAATGGGTAGAGGAAGAAATGTGAAAACTATGGCAGAGGCAATGGATATCTAAGAGGAGGTCCCTGGGAAGCAGATTCCAAAATATAGGTGGAAAGATTAGCATTGGTTAAGAGAAAGAACCACTCTTTCTTTCTAAGGGGAGGAAAGGAAAGAAAAAAAATAAAAAAAATAAATGTGGAAGAAAATAAATTTTGATAACAGAGAGGTAAAAACTTAATAATTTCTCAAGAAGTTAAACATTACGTAAATAACGTGTTAACAATTACAATAGAATTGGTCTTACTTTCTTGGCCTACCCAGAAAAACTTGAATTGTTACTATATTACTATGGATAAGGGGATAATTTTACAGCTCTTTTAACTTTCAATGTTTTCATAATTACTGTAATAGAGCCTACTTCAAAGGATTCTGATGAGTAGTAAATGAAACAACGCAATAAACCACTAAGCACAATGTCAGCACAGAGTAAGTGCTCAATAAATGTTAGCAAATATTATTCCAATTGAATCATTCAATGTAGTTTGAAGATGCATGGTAGAATGAGACCAAAAGAGGGTGAGAAAATTCAGAGACAATTCACAGATAAAAAGGTTTAATACAGTGGTCACAGATTAGAAACAGGGGTGTTTAGAGAAATAAAAATAGAATATTGCCTGAGTATGAACAATCCAAAGTCTTATAAAATATCTTAATCTTTAAATTCCCAATGTATTCCATACCTCCTTGCCAAGCAGTTCACATACAGCTCTATGATTCTTCAAAGCATCTTGAATTGTCTGGATTTGCATAGAAACTGCTGATAGTACAGATTCTTCCAGTCTGTTGAATTCGTCAAAACAGCCCCAGGCCCCACACTTCACCAAACCAACAAATATTCGTCCCATTGACTTCACATCAATGCCCTTAAAAAAAACAATAAGAAGTGTATTCATTTAGAATTAGTTTCAGCTGTACAACACAGTGCAACAGTTATACTTTTTACCCCCCAAAGTGACAACCCTCTTCTCCCAATCTGCCACCCGACTTCCCCCACTCAATATCATACATATCTATTACAATTCCCTTGACTCCACTCCCACACTATACTCCATGTCCCATGACTATATATATATATATATATATATATATANTTTGGCACCCCTGGTGTGTGTGTGTGTGTGTGTGTGTGTGTGTGTGTGTGTGTGTAATGAATATAGTATGTTCCAGGCTCTGTACTAGGCACTAGGAATAAACCAGTGAGCAAATATAAACATAGATCCCACTTTTCATGGAGACTACTATCTGGTGAAGGAGAATCAATACTAATCTAATCTACAATTAACATTGAACAAGTATATATAATATAGGGAGGGGACCTAACCTGGACTTAAAGATCAGGGAAGGCTTCCCTGAGCAAGTGAGATTTAAGTTGAAAGGTGAAAGATAACTTAAAAGATAAAGGATAAAGATAAAAAGGAATGAACCAAGAGAAAGGATCAATATATTATAAAATTTTCTTGATAGTTACCTGATTGGGTATGATTTCATAATTGGCCTCCTCAAAGACTTGCTTTAACGCAGCACTCAGTTCATCATATTCTACTTCTTTGAAGTCAATTCCAGGAAACACATCTTTAATCAGTGCATCAAACCGAGTGCAATCAACAAATGTGAACTTTGACATTGTATTAAGCCTCAATGCTTGTACCACAATATGATTTTCATTAACTAGAGAAAAAGTTTCATTTTAAAATTATTAGTTATGAATTCAATGACTATAAAAGTAGTGTCTAACAGTCTTGAAATACATTACTAGTAATTAAAGGGTGCACCAGAATTGAGTAACATGTAAAGACATATGCTATCATATGAACTGGCAGGCTTACGTCACTATATTTTTGACTGCTGAAAAATAAGTGTCACTAAGTAGAGTCATGAGTTCTTTTCCATCAAATTTGAATCCCAGGTACCCTCAGATTTTAATTAATGCAAAATGATTACCACTTATATTTGCATAGTACTTTACCATTTTGATGGGATCCTTGTAACAACGGTATATAAAGTAAGAAAATATTACTATTATTATTCTAATTTTACATGAGAACGTTAAATCTCTAAAGGTTTAATGAGTTACCTGAAAGAGCACAGAAGTAAGTATTATGTAACTGGGATTTAAGACCAGATCAACTAATTCCAGATTGAGGTATTTCACCAAATATGCCAATATTGCCTCCCAGAGATTTTATGTCATACAACTAAAAACTAACAAACAGAGCAAAAATCTCTAATCAGCCTTGCTCAAAACTGGTTCGTAAACCCATTCTTAAGCCAAACATAAATTCTAATATTATTGCCAGATTCTTATTTTTTTTTAAGGATATTAGCTGCTGATTGGTAAGACATACTTAAAGGCCAGAAACTATATTTAGTCTGGTATTTCTCTATAATTGCTTAATATTTCTATGCTTAACCGTATATATATATATATATATATATATATATATATATATATATACATATATATATATATATATATATATATATGTATATATATAAAGAGGCTTGGCTGGAACTAGAATTTATTTCAAGCACTGAACTCATATATAAGCCATCTTTATTTATTACAGGTATGGTTTAAATATCTCTTAAAAGTCATCAGAGAGACAGAACTGAATAATAGTTATTTCATACTTCACCAAATAACTGCATCTGCCCTGGCATATGCCCCCCTTTAAGCTAAAGTAGCTTTCTTTTAAGATGTTACTTTGACCATTTAAAGTCAAAATGGGTAATTTCATGTAGTCCTCTTTTCTATGCTGTCTTATTTTCACAATGTTTTAACTTCATTTTTAATAGCGACCTGAAGAAGCTGAATATTCAGCCTTTCATGAAGGCACAGATCCATGGGTGGGGAGAATCATTTATTTTATATAAACGGAAAAAAACAACATGGTAAAGTATAATAAAATCCACACGAATCCACGCCGATTTAAGTAAATGAATTAACAATTACATAAATGGGGAAGAGAGACAGATCTTTACAGGAGAGTTTCAAATAACAGCCCCTCTTTAGGAGGTGGAGCTAATCCTTGCCTCCCCACTTTGAAGGTAAGCTAGATATAGTAATTAGCTTCCAAAGAGTAGAGTAGGAAAAGGGGAAACTAACTTCAGAGTGGAGAAACCTGACCAACACTAAGATAAGTGATGAAGGAGAACATCCCCAGTGGTATCATGTGGTTATTATGGACCCACTGATACAATGTGATGAGAAAGGCACTCCACCTTTGTGGTATTCTTTCCAAATATTTAAAACTCAGTCTCATCATGAAAAAAACATCAGGGGAAAAAAAAAGGATAGAGGAAGAGTCTACATGATGTCTGACTAATACTTCTAAAAGAGTCATGAAAATAAAAACGAACTGAGAAACTGTCACAGAGCAGAAGAGACTAAGAAGACACGACAACTAAACACAATGTGCTACCCTAGATTCAATCCTGGAACAGAAAGAGGATATTAATAATAAAATAGGTGAAATCAAAATGAAGTTTGGAGTTTAGTTAATAGTAATGCACCAGCGTCAATTTCTGAGTTTTGACAAACGTGCCATGGTATGTGAGATGAAACAATGGGAATGCTAATTTTGCAACTTTACTGTATATATAAAATTACTGTACGTTAAAGGGGTTTTTTAGGGCCGGCCGAGTGGCGCGTTGGTTAAGAGCTGGCTTGGGACACCAGAGGGCCCAGTTCGGATCCCACATATGAGGGCCAGTGACACTGCCCTCTACAGCTAATATGCTGAACAACAGCTCAACCTGGAGCTGGGTTGCCGTGAGTCACTGGCGACGGCATAGGTTGCAGCCCCTGCTGCAGTAGGTTGCCATGGGCTACCGTTATGTAGCCAGCAGCCAGCGTGAGGGGCTAGCAGCCGCAGTGAGCGGCTGTCCAGAAGCCGGAGACTGATCTGCCTTGCCCGGGAAGAGCGCAATGATGGTGCCAACTTGCGCCAGTGAAGCAACGTCCTCCACAACTAGACTGAAGAACAAANAAAAAAAAAAGTTTATTATTCATTTTTGTTCTTTAAGCCTCTTCCAAATACACTGAAGAAGAAAGAAAATATTAATTAAAGAGGTTTCCAATTTGTAAAATGAAAGATTGGACCATAGGACCATTATTTAAACCTAGATTAGTCCTAAATTTCTATGACTCTAAGATTCTACAATTAAAATATAGCTTCTTAGCCTCTAGCTCATAACTAATGTGCTCACTTCTCTGATCTCAGTCATAATATTCAAATAAAAGTAATATACAAAAGGACACAAATTAAATACTTGCTGTTTCACTTAAGCAAACAAAAATATCTATTTAGTAACTGTGATATGACTAAACTGCTGAAATAATTCAATTGCAATAAAACAGGAACTCTGAATGAATTAAAACTTAAACAAAAAAAAGAAGTTAATAAAAAATAAGGGGAACAAATTATGTATTATTTATACAACACTTATTTCACTCAGCTATGAAACCACAATAATAATTGAAGAATATTCTAATGTAACATATGCAAAAGCTCTTATGGTTTACCTTAGAAAGATCATTCCCATTCTAGATATTGTAGCTGGCGAGGCACAACTTAAATCATGAGTTTCAAATACAAAGTTAACATTTGGGCCAAACTGAATCCTTTCTCCACTGGGCATAGTGAGTAGTCGATTATCATCCAGAACAGAATTCAGAGATTCTATCCATTCAGGGTCAATATCACCATCACAGATTATCCATGAGCTGACATCTATTTTCAAACCATAAAAGTAGAGGTAAAATAAAAAATATATGCAGTGATAATAATTAAAAATAAGGAATAAAATAATTATCTCATTCTTCAGAAGGAATTTCTGTAAGTATTACTTTATATTACTAAAACTAAACAATAAAAAACAAAAAGGTGAACAAGTTGAAATTTTTCATGTGACTTTGTACCACAAATGTGCCGGAGAACCATGAACAATCCTAGCTCAGTTGGCCAAAGACTCAGTTATGTACCACATGATAATGCTCTAATTATCTACATACACACAGAATTGAAATCTTGCTAAAAGAAAACAAGGTGTTAAGACTTAGGTATTTCCATTCCCACAACCTTATGAGGTATTCTTCAGACCTTGGTCTTCTAACACATCCTAAGATTGTATGAATGCTTGCTGTGTAATATCTCTTAAAGAAAATATAGGAGACCCACTTTTTTAGTTCCCTACATGAGAAATATAATAATTCACCACTATCAAATTTCTTTGATATACTCAAAGAGGAGTAGTGAATAAGTTGTGTACGCAAGTCTTTATACAAGAAAAACCTTTTTAATCCATCCTTCCTTAAACAAGAATGGTTTCAAGTTGTACTTAATGTAA